CAATTTAAAAGTTGTTTAAGTGCCGAGCCTATTTTGTTTTTCATAGTGGCCATGTTTGTTTACATATAAAACAGCATAATATTATATTTGTTGCCAATCTAGAGAAAGTAAGCTTCGCAACAACAAAAACAACGCCTTCTTTTATTATTACGAATTAAATCCTGCTTATTATTCGAAGAAATAAGTGTTTAAGATCTAGTTCGTAATTTTTAATATAGATATTTTGAGTTTTTATATATTTTTGCCTTATCGCGAAGTGAGAACTGAATTAATTGAATGAGAAATACTGAATTGTCTGTGAAAAACTGTTTCTTTCTTTAACCCCCCCTTTTTTTTTGTTTTTGTTTTGTTTGTTGTTGTTGTTGTTTACTTGTAGAGACATTAGATTTTTTTTGAGAGCAGGCAAGATGAAAAGTTAGCAACGCCTTCTCCGGGAATCGAACCGCGGCCCTCTGAAATACGCGCCCAGGGTGCAGACCACCACACCACGAAGGCATGCCAAGAAGGTGGGAGAAATACCTTATATACGCCATCTTTTAAAGGGTGACTAGGGTTTTTAGGGGACCCAATTGCCAAGTCCTGGGTGAGGAGAATCATTATTCAATACCCTTTTAGTTCGGGCGCCACTGTAGAAACATTAGGTATTTTTTGAAAGCAGGCAAGAGGAAAAATTAGCAACGTTTTCGCCTGGAATCGAACTGCGGACCTCTGGAATGCGCGCCCAGCGTGTAGACCAGCATAACCACGAAGGCATGCCAAGAAGGTGGGAGAAATGCCTTACTTAATTTCTTTTATACATCGTTTTAGATTTATTATAATATTTTAGTGGAAAATGTAGCAACGATTAGATTATTCTTCAGATGTTATAAATTTTGTGCATTTTGAGTTAGAAAAATTATGCCTCCGTTTGTCCTTAGACAGATTACCATGACATGAAACTCTTATCGTCATTTGCCTTTTAGGCTTCATTCTCACTGAGCAGGCAAAATTACCCTTTTTGTGTAATAGATCCGGCGATATGTTTATAAGTTGAGGTTATAAAAATGAACCATGAGATTGCTGCTACTCAAGTGACTGCTTTTAAAGATGTCGATTTCACATACCATTTAATTGCTCCAGCCATAGATGTACCACCGAATTTTCAGAATTTCACGAACTTCCGTTTTTTGGAGGCTATGAACTTTCAGTGATGTATGGGAGTAAATATCTTCGGATCGCACACTTTGCTACATAACTGCCGTTCTACCAATGTGCCGTTATAAAAATGAATGAAATGGAACGCTGTTAAGTGAACCTAGCGCCAGAGTGTCAAATGTAGTGAATTTTAAAGAGCGCACTTATTCTGTTGTGGTTTATGCGCTATCGACAAAGTATATTTAATTCAATCCAATAAGTTTAACTGAAATGCAAGAAAAATGCGTATAATTTAATATTTCGTACGAGGAAGTCATGTGGTGTACACATCGGATATTTTTAATTTAACAGTAGAACTATAAAGAGTATTGTGAAAGGAATATCAGTATTGTGAAAGGAAAGAGAACCGGTCTTATAATGTTTTTAAAAAATATTACATCATATACGCAGTTGCTTGATAACCTTGTAAAATTTTTAATGAAATCTTGATGTTCTCTGTAAATGATTGGTTAGTTGATTTAATTAAAATAAATCACTTAATAACTAACTCCCTAGAGAAGCATGCCTTCTGAAGGAAACTGGGTGGTATTCATGTGACGCATGTGAGAAATTAAGAAAACGTACATGAAGGCATTTTATATGGTTTAGAAAGGAGGAAATTCTTTCTGTACTAACCGAAGAGTAAGCTAAAATAGTCACAGTAGTCGTAAAGTTAGATAAAATCTCATATTTAGAATTATTAAAGGCATTTGCGTAAAGCAGTCTTTTATCATCTTTTATGAAAATACTAAATAGTTTTATTCTCAACTCAAATCAGTAAATGAAGTAAGAGCAATCTGAAATCCTGAGATTGAAATTCAATATCCGTACAGCTTAATTTCTCCACTACATATCTTAAAAGCAGCAACTTATGCTTAGTTCCTTTCATATCGTATCATTGCAAATATTAACTCCACCGTCCATTTTATTAATTTTTGACTGAGACAGACCATAAAGGAACTTAATTATCTCACTGTCCAATAATATTTTTTATTAAACATTGCCGTAGGATACTCAAAAGCGACCGAACGACCAGGCGAACGGGCTGGCCTGCATGGATGTTTTCGTGCTTTTCTGCATGCATGATAAGAGAGAGTTTTTCTTAAGTCTACGATGGCATTCCTTTCTTTGGTAGATAGGCCTAGTGGGCTTTGCCATAACCAAATAAAATAAGAAATAAGAAAACGAAACACGGAATAACAATCGCGTTTATGCTAATTTACGGATTTTATTCTTAGCAATACCTATATTATAGATATCTATACTATTATAGATACTATATTATGGATATAGTATGTATTATAGATACTGGTATAGATTCTGCTTGTAGAACGTTTAATCCTTTACTACGATGGGAAAAGTAAAGAGAGATATCTTTTATAAATATATCTAGATATGATGGTACTATCTTAACTGAATGGCTAGTACGTAATACAAATGAGTAGCAAATACATCCTATGTTTAAATGCTGATGGTACATTCATTCTTTTTTAGCACTTTAGTACCCATCATGACACAATTATCACTCCAAGGCCAACGAGATTACATGTTGGGATGTTTTTTGTATGAAAAGATCTTTTACAGCTTAATAAAGCCCTTTTCAAGTAACAATTTCTTCAAAACATTGCTGCGTGACACATCTACACTATCAAGATTTTGAATATCAAAAGATATGTGTTATATGTGTTTGTCATTTGAAACATGTTTTTTCTGCATATGTTAAGAGATGCATATTTTTTCGTGACAGGTTATAGCCATTTTGTATAAGATCAAGACACATCGTCTGAACTTGTTTTGCAATATTGCTGTCACGAAATGTTTTTTACTTGTTTTGATAAAATTAGCACACTAAGCAAATGGAATATTATGCTTAGAAATGAGTACATGAATTGTTAACTCTACATTTGCTTATTTCTTTTTTCTCCGTAAGTTTACTCATTTTAAGAACGTGTCTAACGTTGAACTTGTTTTAGCAGTATATGCACATATTTACGTGTAATAATTTTAAATTCAGCGTATCTTTAGAATTTCCGATACTCAGTATCACGCGCTGGAGATAAAAATGTTTTTTCTCTACAATGTTGCCATTGTTCACTTTGAAATCCTTGAGCTTGTTAATCAAAAATTTTTTTTAATTTTACAAAATATGAAATTGATAATAAACAAATTCTTGCTTCCAGATGCCCATATTCGCAGTAGAATTACGTCATTCAAATATGGATGGTTGTAGGTACAGTTGTTTCATCACAATGCGAGAAACATACGTACACTTAACCAGATTCTTCATTATTTAATTTCATACAGGGCGATAATATTTGGTGGCAACTGTTTGAAAAGTGAAACAGACATTCAGAATGATTCGACGCAAAATCGCAAGACGAAAGCAATAGTGCCTCAGGGGAGAAGCCTCTTTGAACTAATTAGTATAAAATAGAAATAGTCAATGCAATTTAAAATTTTTGAATCATTGTATGGCATATGTGTAAATGTAAAAATCACACTTAAAGCGTTCAATAGTCCTACGAACGATCCCGAAATGTGTGCAGTACAGACCGCCTTTTGCATACTAAATAAGCCGTGCATATAACATGTTAGTAACACGAATGAAAATTATGCAAAAACTTTGAAATCCTTTAAAATTCTCAGTATTTTTATTAAGCCTTTGAAGTATTACAGTTATTATTAATATTTCTGGACGATTCAGAAAATTGTGAACTTTTAATAAATGTATTAAATTTAACTCTATTTACAAGAAGTAAAAAGAAATCTTGGCTTAGTATTAAAAATTTTCCGAAGAAACCCAGATAATGGGATGGTGACAATAGAAAAGCAGAAATCTGGGCAGAAAATCCGTGGTATTGAGAATCCTGGGTATAAATAACGTATCCATTCACTTTACGATGACATAGCATAAAAATGGAGAATTTTGAGGGAAGCGGGCGCGTATTCATGTTAAAAAGGGAGAAAACCACGAAAACCAACTATGCAGCCAGCCCGTTCGCCTGGGATCAAACCCAAATTAAGTCGGAACTGACAGTATTCAGCTGCCTTAACCAATCGGCCACTGGGTGCTTATATTCTTAAAAGATATGAATAAGAAAACAAGGAAACGATGTAAAATACTAATTGATGAACAACATTATTTTATTTCTGATTTTGCAGAATTAGTATTATTCCAGTTTTTCTAGAATTTTATAATCTTAAATTGCTAAGTAATTCAAACTACACTGGAATGGGAAAGTTCTTTTATGTATCAGAAATTATATACTAGAAAGTGGGATATTTATCATATTATTTCAAAAAGTGTAGTGTTCTCTCCTGCTTCCAAATTGACTAATGTCTCTACAACTGGCGCTCGAACTAAAAGGATTATGGATGATGACTCTCCACACCCAGTATCTGGCGATTGGGTCCCCTAGAAACCCCAGTCGCCCTCTAAAAGGGGAAGCATATAAGGTATTTCTCCCACTTTGCTGGCATGTCTTCGTGGTGTGGTGGTCTGCACGCTGGGCGCTTATTCCAGATGTCCGTGGTTAGATTCCTGGCGAAGGCGTTGCTCATTTTTCATCTTTCCCGCTTTAAAAAATTAAATAATGTCTCTACAAGTTTACTATGGGTTATCATTTAAGTATCGTTTATCGGTCTATATTTATAAAGATTTAGGTTTTTTTTACTTTTAAAATCAGTTTTTATCTATATTCTAAAGAGAATTTCTTATTTTTGTATTTCTTAAGTAGATCTGCTTAGAATATAATGACAATATAGTTGCATAATAATATATATTAAAATATATGTTGTTAATAATTATTATTTTTTTATTATTTTAGAGTATCTGTTGAACTTGTCAAGATAACCGTTCATCATGACGACGACCAGAGAAGTATTCGAAATCTGGGATTACCTCGTTGTGGGTGCTATGCTACTCGTTTCTGGAGGCATCGGTGTGTTCTTTCGATTTTCAGGTGGAAAACAAAAAACTACCAATGAGTATCTCATGGCAGGCAGGAACATGGGCATGTTTCCCGTAATCCTTTCTTTGATGGCTACTGTACAAACTGCAGTGGGTACGTTAGGATTCCCTGGTGAAGTGTACTTATATGGAGCACAGCTATATTTGTATCCGCTGGGGTTTACGGTAGCTTTGATATTATGTACTTTTGTACATACGCCGGTGTATTTCGGAATTCAGGTGACGAGCGCATATGAGGTAAGCAGTTTTGTTTGATTTCAGTTTTGTAATGTTTGTACAAGAAAAATGTGTCCACATCTAATGCGAATTACCAATTTCAATTAATTGCTTTATGTAATAATAGTTAAATAGTAGTTTCACTAAAATAATTTAATGTAACCCAATACTGCGCGCTCTTCTGCGTTAAAAGCTGCATAGAATTTTTAGTCATTACTCGCAGCCGCTATAAATATATATATGGAAAGCAAATATATTTTTATTTATTTGCAATATATTTATTTACATATAGTAAGTAGTAAATTGCATTAAGGTTCTCATCTGGACAAATGATAACTCTGTTTTTTCGTTTCGTTCTTGTTTTAATTTCATCCGTGTAAGAAACTGTTGCTTAGAAGTGTATTTTCCAATAAACATAAACGGATAGCTGGCGATTGCTCTTATTTTGGAAAGCATTCTTTTGGAGGCATGAGCACTGTAATAAATTTTCTTTTTTAGTTAATTCTTTAAGTCTTGATTTGGAAGGGGGTAGAGTGTTAGTTCATTTGCACTACTAATTCAGTTTCTTTTATATAAGAGAGTAAAAAGGTTTGTATAATTTTATAAAATCATTCAGAAGCTACAAAAATTAATTCCAGTTTCATGATATACGTAACAAAAGGAGTAATCTGTTGCCTGTATTTTTAAAATGTAATTTGGCAGTTTGAAAGGTGACACACAGTATTATTTCACAGCTGAGAGAATATTGTTAATTTCATTAGAAATTCTAATATACTACATTGAATATAAACTTATTTTCTCATTGCATTTTGGTATTCAGTCATCTCTACGAACAGAAATTTCATTGAGAACAACACATCACACTGCCATTTTGGCCAGTTGCATCTCTGTATGACATACTAATGCTCTGTAGTAAACTGAATTTTTTCTGTGCACTGCAGAAAGTTAAAAGCTTTGGATAAGTCAGTGACGGGCAAGGATATGATTACGTATGTACTAGTTTAGAGTAGTAGATCAGCATTGTAGTTGATCAGGGCGCACTTTAATTTAATTTCTTCCACGTTTATCATGTAAATAATGTAGGTCAGGCTAGGTACAAATGCAGGGCGTAGTTAGGTATAAATGCTATTATTTACTCTCAGTAAGTAGGTAAAGGCCCTTTACACTAGCTAAATGGAAATAGATCTATAAAAGTTATAGGTGTTTATATATTCTCCGATGTCCACCAACACTTCTCACAATGCTGGCTTATTTTCGCGATAAAGTATAGTTTGAAAAGTGAAACAATTTTGATATTCACTTACCATAATTGGTCTAGTGTTAACACTGAGAAAAAGGAAAGAGGAATTCATCCTCATCCTTCCGTAGCCTTTCTCAGAAAAGGTAATTAAAAAAAATAATAATAAAATAAAAAAATAGCCGAAAGAAAAAAATCTGAAGCTTTCAAATTTTATATTACGCCCAAAGCCCCCCCCCCCATTTACACATACATACACGTTTCGAGAGCATTAGGGCTACTCTTCTTTCGGCTAAATATATTTAAAATTAGTATATCTTTAGAATTTCCGATAAAAAGTCTCGCACGCTGAAGATAAAAATATATTTCGCACAGTGTGTTGCCACTGCTCGCTTTGAAATCGTTATCAAAAATTCGTTAAAGTTTAAAAGATATGAAATGGATAATAAAACAAATTCGAAATTCAAGATTCGGTCTTGCAGGTGCCATATTCTGGTGGAGTACTACGTTATTCAAAATTTGATGATTGTGTGTATCTTTGTTGTTTCACAATGCGAGAAGCATGCCTACATTCATGCAGATTCTTCATTATTTAATTTCTTTATATATAATAGAGGACGATAATATTTGGTGGCATCAAGTTGGAAATTGATGCAATCGTTTATAGCGATTCGACGCAAAAATGCCGTTTCGAGAATAATATCCCTTCTGGGATAACGCCCCTTTAAGCTAAAAGGAGGAAATTGTAATTAGAACAGCTTCCAGGTTTACCGAAGGAACTCAGGGTTTGATATGATATTTTTGATGATGTATCGGCGAATACACAAGTACTGGATTTTGTGAGGAAAATTCAGAACGGCGGTAGAAAATTAAAAGGAACTACTACTATTCGTGGATTGTGCTTCACTGAGCCAAACATTAACACTTTTAATCCTACGTACACATAGAGTTTTATGAATAAAATATCAGAATGATGAGTTCTGATAGACGTTTTGCTCTAGTGTTAAATATATAATGGTCATAATCTGACTTCTTATAATTCCAGCTGATTGTGCTCCTGTGCTGAAAGTGAGACGGTTGGTGAACGCATTTTAAACTTGAAAATAATGCGATAATGAGTGTTTAATAATAATGAGTGTTTTCAGTTAAAACATTCTTTCAAAAAGCAAAGCACAATATACGACTTTTTTTGTTAAAAAATTTAATGCAATGTATTTGTTGTAATAAATAAATCTTATTTATTTAAAATGTATTGCTTAATTTACAATATATAGTGTCCTGGTTGATTCATTTTCTCCCGTTCATCTTCTTCCGCTTTCTTTCCCATTGAAAAACGATGGATCGAGGTTCCACTGTATTTTTTCCGGCTGTGTGAAAACAGTTGATTTCCTTACTTGTTTATAATTTAGTGTTCATGCCATAAAGCTTTTATTAACGTTTTCTATTTTCTCCATATTTTACTTTCACTTCTTCCGTGCTTTTGTTCAGTTGCATGGTCTATTACATCTGTCTTTTATTTTATTTTTATTGGCTGGAATGTTTGTTACAAAGTGATTATTCATCTGTTTGACAAATCTGGGACATCAGTTCAGGATAGTGAATTGCATTTTGAGTCCTAAAAATCTGTTTGACAGCAAATTAAATTACAAATATCTTTATTTGGCTGTGTAGAGAAGCTTATTTTTTTCAATCTTTTTCTGTAGAGTTAATTTATGCAAAAAAAAATCTATAAACTAAATTCCAAACAATCCAATCGTAACTTCCGTGGGACTTTACGAAGATAATTGCTTCAGCAAGGAACCTCTTAATTTTCCTGCGATGAATTTTCCATTTTCTTAACGACAAGACAAAAAATCGTAGAACGTTTTTCAACGTTCTACTGTAAACCTTTGAAGTGGGTTATAGATAAATTTCAGTTGGCAAGGCTTCGTAATATCGAAGACCGTCCCTCACGGATATCCGAATTATTAGAAATAGTTTTCAATTCCTCTGTGTATTCTTCTAAATAAAAATCACCTTTTCTAAATGTGTTTCTAAAGGTTCTGAATGTGTTTTGAGAGGCTGCTTCCCGTGCCACTGGGATATGGATAGCCTCTAGCAAGATATCAACTTTGTTATCTTCGAAGCGCCTATATTTTCACAAGATTAATTTACGTTTATCTTTTTTTGAACAATATTTTTTATGTAATTACATTGGAAAGCTTGGTTTAATGACTGAATGGCCCACCAGCGGCCGAGCGGTAAAGTCGCTGAACACTGGTAGTTCGGTCCGAGGTTCGAATCCCGCGAACGGGCTGGCTGCATGGGTGTTTTCGTGGTTTTCCCCATGTGTAACGTGTATACGAGCCAGTTTCCCTTAGAAAGTCCTCCACGAAAGGCATCCCTCCTCTTAGGCAGATAGCCCTAGTGTGCTTTGCCATAATTAAATACACCACCACACCACACACACCACAGAAGTCTTATTAGCACGACGAAATACTAATTTAATGCTTAAGACTATTGTTTTGAAGGACTATTGTTTTCGTTTAGCGATTTTGCGTTGGTTCACTATAAATGTCCGTTTCACTTTTCAAACTATTGCCCCCAAATGTTAGAGCTTTGCATTATATTTGAAGAAATTAAATAATGAAAAATATGCATAAATGTATGTATATTTCTCGCATTGTGATAAAACAACGGTATATAGAGCCATCGAATTTTGAGTGACGTAATCCTACTGCAAATATGGGCATGTGGAAACCCAAATTTGAAATTTGGAATTTCTTTTATTATCGATTTCTTACTTTGTAAAACTTTAACGAATTTTTGATTAACAAACTCAACGATTTCAAAGCGAGTACAGAAACGTTGTACAGAAAAAATATTTTTATCTCGAGCGCGCGACTTTGTGTAAGGATATGCATTCTAAAGATATGCTCGATTTAAAACTATTTTGCGATATTGCTCTTGAACTGAATTTTATGGTTTAAGTGCAAAAAACGTGATAATTAAATAAATAAAGATAACAGACAAAGTGTTAAAAATCGCAGCTTTGGGGAGGTAATTTATAATCTGAAAACTTTCAGATTTTTATCTTCTTCTCCCCTCCCCCTTTTTTTGTTATTATGGTTAAGTTAAAAGTAAATTCTGGACTCTTTTTAAACATGGAGGTTTTCTAACCTTTCCAATAATCATTGGCGCCTTTTTAATTGTTGCAGCCATATTGCACGTTAATAACCTAGTATCTTTTAAATATTTTTCAAAGCAACTGCTGTTTCACATTTAAACATTAATGTGTGCTCTAGTAATGCTCTATAAAACAGACCAGTTTCATCTGTGTTATAAATTTCGTGTCATTTGCCGAATGATGATTCTGCCCCTTGCTTCTCTCCACATGGTTTCAGATAAACAATAATATTTTAACATTATTATTTTCTTTTTCCTTCTTGTGAGCCATTCAGCAGTTGGCACAAAATTTTTTCCTCGCATTTTCGCGAATTCTACTGCTTTGTGGTCAAAAGAGCTCTAGAAGATAGAACATTTTTTGAGTCTCATTGCTTGAAACTATTCTAAAATAGCGGTTTCAACGTCTCTCCATTTTCCACCTTTTTTGCGCTTTCTTGACACATCTGCATTTATTACTAGATCTTTATCAGTTTATTTCTTTTTTTAAGTAAACTGCACAGTGCTTTTAGGGAAAATGCTTAAATCATTTCGTTTAGGCATTTTTGACATGTTACATACAATAAATAAAAAATGTTTCTTTCAGTGATTTGTTCAAATTAAAAATTCCCGTTTCTTGCTA